TCTACGTTATTTATGAGTGCACAAGCGGCGTTGGTGCCAAAGCAAATATTTAGGCCTTTTGAACGTTTATTGTATGGCGCGAGTTGTGTTTCATACAGTTTTACGTTGGAATGTTTACAGCGAGTAACGAAACAAGACGAGCATCAGGATGGAGGAATCAAATCAAACCCCCAAATAAAAAAAATGTGATATATATTTGTTAATTTTAAAGTAAATCTAAAATATAATGACCATTTTTGCCGCTTACACTTTACAAATATGTGCAGTAAGAAGTTCATCAAATTATTCATGAATTTGCATAATTTAAACAAAATTTCACTTTATTTGTTATAAATGTTACGTTGTCTTGTGTTTTGTTTCATAAATCATGTAAAGAATGAATGTCGCGTATGCGTACGTATGTATGATGAGCAATTGATTTGTGAGTTTACCAATATTTATATATTTTCTGAATCTATTTCAGGTCATATTAACTTAACTTTTTAAAAATATAATAAAAGTTCTCTAAAACAAGTTACTATTTGCGTGCACCAAAATGTAAATAAATAAATTCTAAACATTTAAAGTACTTATAATAAAAATGTTCTCTTACTGTAATTGACTTGAAAAGCTTGTAGCCCTAATGAACTCGGAGACGAGGAAACACACATTTTTTACGTGCTACAAGCTTTTCAAGTCGGTTACTATTAGAGAAATAAATTATTATAAATACTTTAAATATTTTGAATTTATTTAGTTACGTTTTAATGTGCACAAATAAAAACTTGTGATTAAAGAGCATTTTTTTATTATATTTTTGATTATGACCAATAAAATACTCTGAGTGGGTTTTATGGTAATTACACATAGATATTATTATAATAATCCTTGTTCATTGATAATTTCATTAATTTATATACCATATCTGATTATTCGAAATCATTGGTACAAGTCTGTCCATATAATATCTATGGGCGTATCGTATTGATTGGATTGTGAACGAGGTCCGCAAGCTATGCGTAATGGCATTCGATGGACAGTGCGCCTATTGTAATGGTTTCAATATAAAATATACCTATTGGTTAGCGATAATGTAACTTTTAATGCACATGCATGTTGGTGTTTAATTAGGGATGAAACGATACGAGTAAATACAAGTACTTACTAGATAAATTACTTTCCATAACAAATATTTTGGTATCGATATTTTAGAAGCGAGTAGCAAGTAATATCGTAAAGTAAGTATTTGTATCAGTACTTATGCAGTCACTCACTGCGGAGAGTCAAAAAATTCGCGTGCTCAACTTTTTACTCTGGAGGAGTCTCTCTGTAAGGAGTCTAAAGACGGTCTCATGAAAAATTCCCACTAGCCCGGCGTCCCCTTCGTATGAAAATAAGCATTGCTAACACCTATTAATTATATGTAGTCAAAGATCTATCTGGAGAAAGCCCTGGCAACAAAATTTTTAAGGATACCTGACTTTTTTCATTCGATACCGAGTTGGAATCAATACTTCATGTCTGATACGGTATCCAGTACATGTATCGACACCTAGGTGGTATCATTCCATCCCTAGTTTTAATCGCTAAAACTTTGCTTTTTAGTCATTACCCGGCGTTGATTGTGTCGAATGAAAGTACAGTTTTCTATGGATTATTTATTATGTCTATATTAATATTATAAAGACGTAAAGTTTATGGTTTTGTTTGTTTGTTTGTCGAGGCTACTTTACAGAATAATTGTATATGATACCATATTTCATAACCTAATTTTACAGTTGCTTGACTTTTTATATTGACGTTATAAATATTATAATATGACATACCCATGCAATTGCCGAATTGGAGAGTAAGCGTGCCATGTGTGCCACCTTTATTTAATTAGTTTATTAGTGTAGGTACACAAGTAACACAAATGAAAATTTAAATCTATTTTTCACTCCATAATGGAGCTGATCTGATGATGGAAGTGGAAGGTACACATTGGATTGGATAATAGGTTTAATGGGAGACATATGTAATATAATCAGGCGTTAATCTGTGAAAATCTCTTGTTATAACTGTAAAATTATGATATGTGTCAATTTTCACACCTCCCACACAGAAATTCACATTTGCAAATGCAAATTAATCTAGTAAAAATTACCACTCGAAGGATGCTCCGTAGAGGGGTGAAATACGTGCAGATTGGTGATTTTTGGGAGATTTGTTGCCGTTTGTATATGTAAATTTATGTGGGATCGGTACACGGCAAATCTTGCAGATAATAAATGGATGCATAAGTTGTTACTTATCATAGTTTCACGATTATACCATTAAACGAAGCAACCCTTACTGACTTTGGGCTCAATTGATTTCACATCACCACATCACCAGCCCTTTTACGTCCCCACTGCACGGGCTCAGGCCTTCCTTATGGATGGTTAAGGAGGATGGGCCATGACCCTCCACCCTGGCCCAATGCGGATTGGAGGGTATTAACGACTGCAAATGCAGCGGGGACCAACAGCTTAACGTGCCTTCCGAAGCACGGAGTAGCTCGAGATAATAATTTTTTGGTCACCCATCCCGTGACCGACCCTTGCGAAAGTTGCTTAACGACAACGATCGCGGGCCGCGGCGCTTATCCACTACGCCACCGAGCTACTTATACAATTGATTTGTCTCTACAAAATTCAAGAAAAAATAGAAATAAAATTGAAAAGCTTCTAAAAAATATTTTTTCATCTATGGTACTTTCTGCCTACACGTTCCACTTTCAAATTGCAAATTTCCGACTAATGAATATCCATGACAGATCCTCATTGTAGTAGGTACCCGAAAAAAAATTATCTTACAATATCACTCGATGGTCACCCCCATGTTGGCCGAATGACGTGGCGAATGATTGATTACATATTTTTTTTGTTTCCCCCATCGTTTTATTGAAATTGATGACTTGCTCTGTGTGCCATCGCCCGTTTTATGGGTAATAGAGTGATTTTCAAGTGTTATTAATGACATTGATTGCGCGAACTTTAGAATAATTAACACGAGGAAACTTAGGTAAAAATTGAAAATAAATTTAGCCCAGTAAAAGAGTGACGCAAAGTCAAAGCCAAAATTATGTTTATTCAAATAAACTTATAAAAAGTAATTTGAACCCTAAATATGATAGAGAAATTTCATACGCGAAGAGCAATATAAATAATGGCCGGTCGATTTGGTTATTTCTATAGTTTACAAGACATTGCCCTCTCGTATTGGGATATTTCAAACTACGCGGAGATTTTTTATAATGCCCTATTAATTACTTCATACATAACATATAAAAAACACATCTTTAACAGAAAATCCCTTTTGTCGTAAATAATAAGATTATTAATATTAAAAATATTTATAGCATTAAAAATATTTATATGCTATTGTAACTAAAAATTAAACAAAATTTGAATTTTGCGAATTATCCGACTGCCTTTTTGTTAAGAGGTTTTCAGATATTATTATGACACCAAAAATTACTTATTAATAATAATAGTTTGTAGAAACATAGTTTCATTCTCAATGTCAAATGAAAAAAGTTCAAAACATTACGCAAATAAACCATCATAGTAATTATTGACTCCATTATTCTTCCTTTTATTCTATTTGGTATTATGAATATTGTTAATCCTACTTAGTTTTCAATGTGAACATCCTGGCAGTACATATGTCAGTCACAATTGTATTTAAATTTTAAATAACGTGACATCTGTCGGATGTCTTCCCAACTTGTAACCACTAAGTAACTCTGCTAGTAATGATAATAATCTATATTAATATTATAAAACTGAAGAGTTTGTTTGTTTGAATTCTTTTTATGTTGAATAGACCATTTATAGAGGAAGGCTTTAGGCTATATAACATCAGGCTGCAACTATTAGGAGCGAAGAAATAATGGAAAACGCGGACGAAGTCGCTGGCGGCCACTAGTATTAAATAAATAAGTTATATTAAGTAAATGTCGCACGTCGGTTTTAAGTTATCCCATCTCTTAGGTAATGAGGTCCCGGGTTCGATGTCCAAGAAGAACAATGAAAAGAAAATTAACTTTTATATATTGTACTGGGTCTGGTTGTTGTGTTACTTTCGTTGTTGCATACTTCCATAATAAAATTGCTTTAGCTACTTAATTTGGGATCTGATATATGTATGTTATTATTATATGTATATATTTATTAATATTTAAATATTATATGTATATATTTATAAGTAGAAGATTAATATATATTCAAATGAATTCAATCAAAGACCATAGCCATATCATAATATATACTGTAGCTCGGAATATCCTTATCAAGGATGCGAACGCCTAACTCTAGCCATAATTTTAGCTGTGGGACTTTTTGAAATGTTATTATAATATTTCATTACCCTTGACTTTAACGTTCTTCATGGTTAAAATACTAATTTGGTAACATTTATTTTCAAATGATTGTTATGGATCATTACTAATCAAGCCTCGAACGTTATTAAATACAAGTCGAGGAAGTGAGATCAAAAATCACAATCCCTCGAGTGGTACAACTAGAAAGTATTATATAAATGGTAATATCGACATTTGAAATGAATAGCCACATCGAATGTAGATGTAAGTGCAGCATTGCACCAGCGTAGTTAATAGCGTTGCAGGGTTTCACCCCGTTCCAACGTCTGTCCTACGGCTTCGCAGAGGTGAATAATGAACTGGGCTGCTCGTTTATTGTATAGTCAGCATAAAAACTGACTGGTAGTAAGATTTTTTTTGCGAAAGCGTAAGCTAAAAGTCCTTCCCTGTTTATTTCATTGAGCCCGACAATACACAGGATGAAGAATTGCACGGCAAGATCGGTTTTTAATTCATTATCGGCAAACTATTTTGATTATACTAGAAATGCTGCATAATTTTCTCGGCTATAAAATGGCTTACAAATTCATCAATTTTCGTTTAGTATAAGTGACAAAAAAAATGAAAAATTATTATTTTTAGGGGTAACTTTGTGATATTTCTTTTTTTCGTTTTTAACTATGACAGAACCTTTATAAATATTATGTAGTTTTTTTTATTACAGCAATTTTGGATGTTAATTCTTTGCCCAAAAAAATTGAAAGCATGTGATTTTGAGTATCTTACACTTTAACTACCCACTTTAATACTTTTACTTTAATAAACTCTCACCTATTTTTATGACTTTTGGTCTCATTCCTTTTGACGTAACACTACTATACTATACACTTTTATATACATATCTATAGTGAAGTTTTTCAGAAAACAAATGATCGCTATTACATATTGTACTAATTACATAAATGATAATTCTTCACCTCGTCTTAATTAATATGCCTGTCTATCCTTTCATAAACGTAATGAGATGCAATAATAATATTATGATGAACTTTGAAAAAGTTTCTCTGTTTTGCTGTCTGTACCAAATACATTCAACTACAAATAGAGCTACGGTCAGGAAATAAACAACTTTCAAAAGTTGTGAAGCCATAGGTTACCTAACGGAAAAGTTTGAAAAAATCGCAAAAGAGAAATAGAAAATTATACTTTGTTATCAGTTTTCTCAGAAATCGGTATTTTATGTGATTAGTATTCAGCCATAAAACAAAAAAAGCATTATTTTGACAGACAATTTAGTGCTAAAGACAAATTACACTGGTAAACAGTATTTTTGTTAAACAAAATCGAGTCGGTTTTTTAAACACTACTACCTACCCGCATATAAACCACATACTTAGTTTTGTTCAATCACCCTCAGTTTTCGTTAATCATAAACTAAATTGATTACGCGAATTTTGCTTACCGACGTAAGTTTCCGATAAATTAATATTGAATTATTGAAATTAAAACGGTTTTTTTTTGTGATTGTCGTTTCTGTACATCGTAATAAGATGCCCAGAGTGTGTGTTAACCATCCTGATAACTTTTGTTACATTTGCAGTCAACTTATTATTAAAAGTCAACGTCGTAATTTGACACCATTAGTTAAAAACTGTTTTTTTAATTATTTTGGCTTTCCGGTGCGAAATTTGGACAAAACCTGGACTCCTAGTGTTTGTTGTGCACAATGTGTTAGTTTATTAACATCATGGGCTAAAGGATCTCCTCATATGCCGTTTGCAGTTCCAATGATATGGTCTGAACAGAAAGACCATGTATCAGATTGTTATTTCTGCCAAACTTCTATCAAAGGTATTAATCACACATCTAGACACACCGTGAACTATCCGAATTTTCAATCTGCTCAAAGACCTATCCCACACAGTGATGATCTGCCTGTTCCTCAGACTCCAGTAAACACGGATGACGTGATTGATGAAGAAAATGTATCTGAGAATTCTGATTCCGATCTAACTTTTGAGCCCAGTACTTCAAATACGGCGCCTCATTTTGTAAATCAAAACGATCTCAATGACCTTGTACGTAATTTGGATCTCAGTAAAAGACTGGCAGAACTCTTGGCTTCCCGATTTCATGATTGGAATTTACTAGAAAAAAATACCAGAATATCCGTATACAGAAAACGACACACGCACAATATGGGATGCAGTATGTCGCTCAAGATACACTTCTTACCCTTTCATTTGGATTTTTTTCCTCAAAATTTGGGAGCCATTAGTGATGAACACGGCGAGCGATTCCATCAGGATATATCCAACATGGAAAAACGGTACCAAGGCAAGTGGAGTCCGAACATGTTGGCTGATTACTGTTGGACACTCAAAAGAGATGTACCTGACGCTAAATATTCCCGAAAATCCTGAATAAAAGTCAAATGTTAGTTGTTTTTCTTGATTAAATTCAATTTTCAACCATATTTACTTAAAAAAAAAGTGTATTGCAGTTACAAGAAAACTAAGGGTGACTGAAACTTTTTAAAAATGCAGATTATTAACAGGCTAATTGTAGATACAAAATATCTCATTCAAATTAATTTAGATATTCGAAATTGATTTATAAAAACCACCTTTTGTCCTCTTCCGTAGGATGTCAACAAGGTGACCCACTCGGGCCGGCACTTTTTGGTTTAGCTATTCATCCAATTATTTCAAATCTAAATTCTAAATTCAATGTGTGGTATCTGGATGATGGTACGTTAGGAGGAGAAGCCGAATCAGTTTTTTCAGATCTAAAATATCTAATCGAAAATTTAGAAAATTGTGGCCTAGAGTTAAATTTTAGTAAATGCGAGCTCTATATTCCTAGTACAGTCAATGAAAAAGAATCCATAATTTCCAAATTTAATGCTCTAGCTCCGGGCATAAAAATCATATGTAAACAGTCACTTTCACTTTTAGGGTCTCCAATTTGTGATGAATATTTCAATCAGTTCACTGAACAAAAAGTAATAAAATTTAAGTCAGTTGCTGATCGTTTACTAAAAATTAATAATCAAATGGCTTTCACAATTATGCGTTATTATTTGTTTGTTCCTCAATTTACCTATGTTTTACGTTCAGCACCTTTTTGGAAACACACAAACCTTACACTTTCAATGGACAAAGCAATAAAAGAAATTGTTTCCACTATACTTAATATCGATATTAGTGACAAAATTTGGGACCAGGCTTCTCTTCCTATACGCTTCGGAGGTTTAGGTTTACGCAAAATTTCTAGTGTTGCCCTTCCAGCATTTTTATCTTCGGTCCATAGCACCTATGACCTGAATAAAAAAATATTGTCTAAAACATCTTTAGCTGCTGCTATCTCCAATATGGCCGAGGCAAAAACTGCTTGGGAGATATTATCTGGAAGTGATTTTCCAACAGTAATGACAGCTCAAAAACATTGGGACGAGCCGCTCTGTAAATTGGTACGGAATAATCTATTAAACACGTCTGCCAATTCTGCAGAGCATGCTCGTCTCTTAGCTGTCGCTGAGTGGGAATCCGGTCTTTGGTTACAAGTATTGCCGTCATCGACTGTTGAGACACTTCTAGATAATACAACTTTTCGCCTTTCAGTTTGTCTTCGCCTGGGGGCAACCTGTAATCTCCCCCATCTTTGCCCTTGCGGTGAAACGGTGGACTCTTTAGGTCATCACGGCTTATCTTGTAGCAGAAGTGCCGGTCGTATCTCTCGACATGCAAGTATCAATGATATTATCCGTCGAGCTCTTGCTACGGCGTCAGTGCCAGCCATTCTAGAACCGAACGGGCTGACTCGCGACGACGGTAAGAGACCTGATGGGATGTCTTTGGTACCTTAGAGGATGGGTCGACCCCTAGTATGGGATGCCACCTGCGTTGATACTTTGGCGCCAACTCATCTTCCACGAACATGTCTTGAGGCGGGTGTAGCCGCCGCTGCTGCAGAAAGCCTCAAACGGCGAAAATATTCAGGTATAAGTAATACCTACATATTTGAACCGTTTGGGGTCGAAACGATGGGTCCGTGGGGCCCTGGAGCCCATCGTCTTTATCAAGAGTTAAAAAAGAAACTTTTTGACAGGTCAGGTGATCAGAAGGCTGGTTTGTACCTCGCCCAAAGAATTAGTTAAGCTATTCAAAGAGGTAACGCTCGCAGCCTTCTGGGTACCTTACCTGTAGGCAATGATCTGGGAGACATTTTTAATTTAGTTTAGTTATTATTTTAAGTTTAGATAAGTAGTTTTAATTTAATATGTATTTTAGAAGATATATAATATGTTACAATGAAATATTGTATTGAAAAAAAAAAAAAAATTAACTTTCATTAAGGTCATTTTTGTCAATCAGTGATTACTTAAAATAAGGATGAGTAATAAATAATACCATTTTCTTGAAGGTTAAGATTAAAAGAATATCTATATTTAGAACAACACAATAAAATAACACTGTTAATATTTAATCTAACTTTATAATTTGATTAACATTTTTATTTAAGCAAAATAAGGTTCCTATTTTATTTGGAATTGAACTTTTCGCCGATTTCTTAAAAATTTTATCGAAGTTTAAGTTTAAGTCGTTCTTGTGTACTGGAGCAGCAAACTAAAACAACTTGGAACAGATAATTTTAAATTTGTTTAAGATAGTAAATAAAATTATTTAATATACTTTAGGTATTTTAGTGATGTGTTCGCTTCTCCGTTCCAAAACAGTCTTAAAAATATTACAAATAAGAATTAAGATCTCTCATACACCAAAAAACTATTAATATTTAAGTGGATTTGTACAGCACGTAAATCTATACAAAACTGTCAATTTATCCACTCAATTTGAAACCTTATTATATTGAGGATGTGGGTCAAAAACCATTACAGAAATTTGATATATTGTAGTAACATAACGTGCAACTGTATGTACGAAGAAATAACGTCTAAATAAACTATAATTAATAATGAGAAAACTTCAGGATTTTGTTATATGCAGAACTTGAATTTATAAACTTTAAATAAATATGAAATATGAGCGTTACTAATACTTTGTAGCTGAGGAAATTATGCAGATACTTCTACACATAGTTTAAAACAAATTCGCTTCCCGCTGTTTGTACGCTGAGCTCTCTTAAACCTCAAAACGGATTTTTATGCAGTTTTCATCAATATACAGAGTAATTTATGAGAAAGGTTTATATAGGTATGTATAATATGTCATGACCACGCGGCCGAAGGTGCAGGCGGAAAGCTTGTTTACATATTCGCCATTATTGGTTATTCATTAGAGTTTAAAGGCGTCATTAAAACTTAATGGACGTGTGTGCAACTGACATCTATCTTATTTCTGGGTGCAATTACATATCTTTACTATTATTATGAAGAGGAACGATTTTATTGTTTTTTTTTTTTTTTTGCATAAATAGGTTTTAAAATGACGGGATTGAGTTTGAAAATTCTTGCAGCTACGCGATGCTACTGTGACCAAAAATTTATGATATGACCCTCCACACTAGCCCAATATGGATTGCAGGGTATTAAAGATTTCAAATGCGGCCGGGAACAACGGCTTAACCTGCGTTTCGAAGCACGGAGTACCTCGGGATAATATTTTGTTGGTCATCTATCAGATTAATAAATTTCATAACGCTAACTCACAGTCAACAACTGACCGTCAATTTGGTTACGAGCTAACCATACCTTATGTTGTAATTTTAAGCGTCTTAATATTAAATGAGAAATATTATCCTCTTCCAATAGCGTACCTACACACCAGACTGTTATTTATAAGGTGGGAAAACGAGATTACTTTCCAGCTACATAGCTATTGATTGTTCGAAGTTACAGATTGCGTCTGTCGGCTGCAATTCACATTGCATCCCTAGGGCTTATTTTGCCTTATTTCGCTTCGGTTTTGCTGCTTCGTCTTAAGAGTGCAAGTAAAACAGATGAGAAAAAGAACAGAAATCTCGAACTCAAAACGGGGAGAGATAGAAACATATGATTGAATATCATGTTAACATAATAAATGTAATAATAACATAAATACTATTTTCTTTTCAAATTATTAGAAAGCCATATGCATGATTATAAAACCACTAGTGACAATAAACGCAAATCCCATTCATTATATTACTATATTGTAACTGAAAAATATTATTATTCAACTATTTATTTATTTAAGTAATGAATAAATCTTTGCAAGATAAACCTACCCCTTTCGAACCGCCCTATTGTTGTCCGCGCGGAAAGTAGCCTAAATTAACTCTTTATTACATAAACTATCAGCTAGTGAAAGTCCCGTCAAAATCGGTCCAGCCGTTTCAGAGATTAGCTGGAGCAGACAGACAGACAAAAAAGTTTGTTTTTGTATATATACCGTGCATACATACATATGTATTTAGTGAAAAACGGGTATTTAAATATTACAAATCGACTAAATATTGAACGTCAAATCCTCTATACTATTTGCATGGATGATTTGACATTTACTATTTTTAAATGACTTCAAATCAGAAAAGGAGGAGGTTAGGTGTTCGATGGTGTATTTTTATTCATGTAATTTAAATTAGGTGGGAATTAGACTTTTCAGGGTCCCGTTCTTAAAGGCTAAAAACGGGTGCCTATCATTAAGACTCCGCTGTCAGTCTGTCACCAGACTGCATTTATAATTAGACTGTTGAAATTTTCACAAATTCTGTTGCCGCTTTGACATCAAGTACTAAAAACAGAATAAAATAAATATGAATATTATAATAACAAATATTCATTTCGATAAAATGAATTATATATATATATTATTTGCTTGCTTTAGATGCACTCTTAACTTGATGAATTGTTCACCTTTGTTTCAGTTAATGTGCTTGCTTATTCGAATGAAATCTTGAGCTTCAATGCTATAGCCGATTTATACATAAATTCTAACATTAAACTGACAAAGAGAACCAAAATAACCGCAGATTAAGTATTTATAATTATGCCTTGGTCATATTTTCCCAGATAGGGATTAAGTTTTTTTTTCACTTATTATTAACTAGATATTACGGTGCACTCTAAATTGGTCCAGTCGTTCTCTAATTTTAGCGAGACAAACTAACAGTAATAAATCTATATAAATGTACCGATAAAAAAATACATTTTGGTACTTTTATGCATCAGGTAAATAATAATAATACATATTATTATATTGTGGCAAGATAAAAAACTTTGTAAACATGCTTTATTAGCGATACTAAACCGTAAAACAACTACTAATTCTAACGTGCCCCATGTAAATGAGTCAGAAGCGCAGAACAAATTTAACTGTCACGGGACTCATGGAACATGCTCTACTTATTTTCTTTTAAATCTATTATATTTATATAATAAATTATATATAATAAATAATAAGATCATATTCCACTAATATGTACAAAATTGGTATGAAAAAAGTAACATGAGCGCCATCTCATGTCAGTAATACGAAATAAATGCTGACTTAAAACATATACTATTTTTTTTTTAATTTAAGCGATTTTGTTAGAGGAAACAAACTAAATTACTCGCAGTGTTGTGAATTTGATCTCTCGTAGGATTGTTACTGCTTACCCTCTGCGACTTTACCCTGACCAAGACGACCGACGCCGGACAACCGCTCACTAAATTTTAAAATGCTCTTATTTACGAGCAGGGGCCTGACATATAATTAACTTGAATACCTGTTTCAACTTTGCCTTTTTTCAAATTGAAGTATTTTTTAAGAAAGGTTACATCCTTACACAGGTTTTGGCAAAAATACTCCATTTAATTTTTATTATGCTACACTTATAATAGATGCAATGTCAAATAAAGAATGTCAAATTCACACGAAAAGTTAACACCGTGTGTTAGATATCCTAATATTATAAAGAGGAAAGATTCGGTTGTTTATTTGTTTGCTTACTATAATAAATTGGAATGTACTGAATAGATTTCAAATTTTTTTCTACATCATACACGGGTGATACAGACTATGATTTACGCGAGCAAATTTGTGGGTATATTTTAAACCAGAAAAAGAACAGTGTCTCCGGAAAAGTGGATTGGTCCGTCTGAAATCTTAAAATCATATAAACGACTAGCGCCTTCTTGAAATCTGATCGATTAAATGGAGGGCAGCGTTCAAGAATGTTATTAATATTTTAACAGCCGCCGCTGCGAGAGAAATCATATTCCACTTTATTTGGAAGTACTCCAAAAAACTTTCCGACAAAATAATCTAAACTTACAGTGGGAAGACATCTGCAAAGTTTCCTTGATACCTAAGTGAAAAGTTAGTCGCACAAAATTACATTCCGTCGCGAGTCGTCCGCACACCAAAAAAGGACGGGTCAAATGAGAGTTTCAATAGCGCACGAAGTGTTCCGTAGTACACTTTTAAATTAAATTCAGATTAATTAAATAACTTATTCATTAGTAAAATATGCAATTAGTAATATTTGCAAAAACTAGTAGTTTCAAAAGTGATTTACGATTGAAGAGTAATTATATAATTCTATATACAATTTAATAGACCAGAAACAATAAGTCAAGACGTATTAAGAGCCCTATTACAATACAAACAAACTCGCTACGCGGCCATACAAAATGTAGTGACTTTACAGTTTAATTATCGCTTTAATTGAAATAGAATAGTAAATTTGTGCTTAAATTTTATGAAATCTTATTCTAATACAAATTTTGTTCAATATTGTTATCGTAGATAGGAGAAATTTACAGTTAGTTAATTTATATCAAAGTTTTTTGGTTAGTGATAAGATGTTTTTTTCTATAATTAATCAATGATATTTCAAAATTTCAAGGCCGCTATAAACTATACGAATATTCTATTTTTTATTTCATTTGTTTAGACCAGTAGCTCAATTCAGGAGCTAAAAAAGTGTCATCGTGCCTTTTATGAAATTTTACTCGACAATTAAAACACAATTTACAAAAGGCAAAGCTGCTACGAACTATACCGATAGTTATTCTGCACTGAAAATGCATAATATATTTTTGATTCCGAGAACAAGAACTTCCGGGAAAAGAGAAATTGATAATTTTAAACAAAAATCACAGTCAAAATGTAATAGGGCTTTCACTTACAAAATATTTTATTTAGGTACCATAAACAAATAACAATATTTCCTATGAAACTTTTATTTGATTGAATTTCTATATTAGGGTTGCGCTCGACGTTAAGTTTGATTTTTTCTGGTTTGTCTGTTTTTTTTTATAACAGAATAGCACTGCAGATGTGTACTGATTTTCAATCCAACTCTCTCCAGTAGTTTTAGTGCAAGCAACTATGATTTACAC